CGTTTGGAGCTTAGATCGCCTAAATAGATTGTACACCTTTCCACATGTTCAACCTTAGAAGGTAGATAAGAATGAGTCCGCACAGCTCCTTGGTTGGATCACTGATCTAAGGCGTATTTATGCACCTAATAACCAATTTATCCTATATATATAGCTAAGTTTGAGAGCAAATTCCTAATCGAAACTGAAATTTTAGAGTCTATTGATTGTGTTTCCTCTAACCAATATGATTAGATGTTTTAGAGTGAAAAGCAAAGAAAAAGGAGTGAAAAAGGACACTATGCAAATGGTCGAAGAATAAAAGCCGAAGTTGCTAAAGAGAAGGGCCAATAAACTGAAAAAATACACTGCAAGGGAGCAACTCCACATCGCGGAGCTGAAGCCAGCGTGTGGAAAACAATTTAACTCAACAGTGGAGTCCGCGCCAGGAGCGCATCGCGGAGAGGATCCAATCGTGAACAAATTGTTGCGAGGGAACAGGTCCGCGACGACTTCAAAATTGAGTCACGTGTTTTATTTCAGACTATAAACAGTCCAATTGTATTATTTTATAATTATCCAATTTTTGAAAAATGAGAGAACAACGATTTGGGCGATTTTGCTGACATTATCTATGGCTTTTCTTCTACTCCTTCATTTCGATAATGTAACACCTCGTATCCGAAATAGACCAAAAATAAATATTTTGAGAAGTTGCAGGTGCAACCCACGGTTGCCATCCACAGACCGTACGTCAGACCACGACTCGTGCTGGTGGTCTGTGGTTCACCACTGCAACCCTTCCCCAACCAAGCTCAAAAAATCGGCTAAGTCTCGACCCACGGTCCGTAGGTCAGACACCGGTCCGTGGTCTGTGTCCGTGGATCAAGACTCCTTTGCACAGCCTCTTACATGAACTATGATCGACCAACAAGGACCGTAGTTCGATCCACGGTCCGTAGGTCTGACCAAAGATGAGGGTCAGCAATCAGTTAGGGGAGAATTGTTGAGTGGGTCAAATTCAGATGGTCATAAATCTTAGCACAAAAGGAATTATGTGTCCCATGACCTATGATATGATAGATAATTGAAGCCTCTTTCCAACTCCACTGAGTTTGCTAAAATCTGACCTCCGAGTAAAAAGTTACGCTTGCTTTAGTGAAGCCTTGTCGGGCAGACTTGACCGACGACCCCAATCTACGGACCATCGATTGACCTACGGCCCGTAGGTCCCGTCCGTCGATCACTCCGACAACAATTAAGTCAGGGGTCTTTTGGTCTTTTCCTATTTCGTTGGACTTCTAAGATACACCGTTTAGACCCTAAATCATGAGGTTTTAGTCAGTTTAAGTCTAAAAACATAACTAGAACTTATCTAAGTCAAATCATTAATCAAAACTTAGAAAAATTAGAGCGTAAGAGAAGAAGAGAAGTGAAGAACCCTAGTTCAAGAATACAGCAAGGTTTCTTCAGTTTTAGCCCCGAAATCAAAAGATTTCTCCGTGGAATTCATCACCATGTATGTGGGATTTCACTAGTGGGTTCCTTTCGCCCATTAGGTCCCTAGAATTCAGTCAGATTCTTGATTCCATGATTATGAACAGACCTAGGTTTTCTAGAATCTCAATATCATCATGAAATAGTTATTTAAATGTTCCAAATCAGATTATCATGTTATTGATCAATTTATTGCATAAATTTCAGAACCCTAGCTATGTATTTCTTTAGTTCTTGAATTACACATGCTAAGTCAGATATCTCAGTTATTCAGTTATACATGCCTCAGTTATTAATGCATCATTATCAAATTAATTATTGCATTCTCAGTTTGCATGTTCAGTTTTGAGGTATCCAGTATTTTTACAGAAATTCAGTTATAACTAGTTAACCACTTAATTCATTGGGAGTAGCATAATACCGAGTTGGACTAGGGTTCAGCGTACCCATATAGTCCCAGAACTATGAGCTACGTAGGTGTAAGTCCCCTCTGTAGGCAACATCAGTTTAGTGATCACGCCAGCATGCCTTTATACCTCTGGCAGGGTATATTGGGTCCTCTCGATGGGGGTATACATCGGACTCCACATTTAGCTCATGTGGTTTTATGTTGGTTATTAGTAGCTCCCATAGTTCAGTCAAACTCTATTACATTGACCACATTTACAGTTTATTCAGTATTCAGTCAACATGTTATAAATTGGTCATTGCATTCAGTTAGTTTAGTATTCAACATCTATATCATGTTCAAATTATTTCATTGCTTTATTGCTTTTTAGTTTTAGTTATATGTTATTTT